TTTTCCATTTTCAACCGACTTCAAAAAGGAGGAGGTTCTCAATTCGACTGTATGTTTTTTTTTTTTTTTAATGTTTGTTACCTCAGAACTCCGTCATTTATTAACCGATTTGGACAATTTTTGTTTTGTTTGAAAGGGTATACTTCCAGATTGGTCCCATTTAAATTTCAAAAAAAAATACCACCCCTAAGTGTGGAAAAACAACGAATGATGAATTTAACCTACTTCTAATTGTCATATTGACTTGAAACTTTGCAAGTATTTCTATTTCCGTTGATAGTACAGTGGTTCAGTGTTGTTAACCTGATCTGATGGCAAGGCCAGAAGGTGGTTAGGTGGAACTCTTCAACGGCTAATAGTAGATACTTTGAGTTTGGGCTTATTTTGTTTGATTTGACAAGCCTAACACGTTAGAATCCTTACTTTGCTACTACAGTCTACACTAAAAAGGGAAAAATAAAAACTTTTTAACAAAAAAATAAAAACCGACTTCAAACAAAAGCACTAAAAAGTAAAAAATAACTGATTGGTAGTTTTCATTTACTATACATACCTAATCAAATATTTTCGAAGTCGGTGTGCTTTGGCTAAGTAATTAAAGCCTACCTATTAAATACATACCTAATCAAATATTTTCGAAATCGGTGCCAGCCCATACAAAGCAAAGCACACCGACTTCGAAAATATTTGATTAGGTATGTATAGTAAATGAAAACTACCAATCAGTTATTTTTTACTTTTTAGTGCTTTTGTTTGAAGTCGGTTTTTATTTTTTTGTTAAAAAGTTTTTATAATACAGTGAAGATAAAGAAAATATCTTAATAATACCTCATTTTGTTATCAACTGTATGCCAGGCAAAATTAGGCAAACGAAAGGCAAGTGGCAGTGGTAGCCCAGTGGTAACGCGCTCGCTTGGGAAACCGAGTGATGCGGGTTCAAATCCCGGGTTTCGCACCTCTGATATTTTCATGTGCGAATCATTTCCAACATGATTACCACTTGTCTTTCGGTGAAGGAAAACATCGTGAGGAAACATGCATGTCTGAGAGAGCCTAGCAAGTTTTCAAAAGATATGTGAAGTCCGTGTAGGCCCGTGCCCAGCAGTGGAACGTTTAAAAGAATATGGGACGTTAATAAGATGTTGATGAATGAGTTTTGAACACAATCATGTGACTTTTATTTTGAACTCATCTAAAGAAAATTTACTAATATCTTAAAATTACCCATAGTTAGATTCTGCCAGCAGTATATTATAATTGCATGTTTATTAAGAAAAATATACAGCTTTTATATTAATTACACTAGCGGCTCACACTCGCTTCGCTCGGGTTGATCCCTAGGTTCGTTTTGACGGTTAGTATGGAATAGATAGACTATATAATATATAGGTACACAGTAAAAAGTTCTGAATATTTCGATTTTCCAGATGTTCTTTTAGGTTTTACCTATTTCTTTTATACTTAAACCAACCCTTTTTTTTTATGTCGGGAAATGCATTTACGCATACCACCTGATCCCCCAGGTGGTGATGTGGGGCTCACCGGCTAGAAGAGCCGGTACTACCCACTAAAACCCGACATTCCCCTCCCCTCCGCCTTAATGGGACGCCGCAGGATCGCTTGCGCATAACTACTACGGCGCCCCGGCGGCAGGTCTGCCAACGGCTGACCACCACACCGATGGGGCTGCTCCACAGTCAACTCTGCTACACCAGAGAGGTACCCGGAGCAGCTCCATAAAACCGAACCTCCGCCCACCGAAGTGGGCCACCTCCAATCGGCTGCAGAGGACAGGGAGAGCGGCAACGAAACACCGACACTCCTCTTCCCCTGCAGCCCCACCGCGTCCGCCATCAAACGGTGGCGGCCCCGTCTAGGCCGCGGAAGGTAGGGAGAGCGGCGCACCGAAATACCGGCACTCCGGTTGTGGGACCAAGCGGTCCCACCACCGGTGGCCGCAACGTCTTTGGCTCGAGGCCTAGACGAGCGGCCCCATCCAAGCCATTTGGTCCGCGCCGGATTTCTCCGGTACCACCCGCCGCCCTAAGCGGGTGGCATTCCCCTATCCGCCACCTGGGGACGCGCCCGGTAGGAGTTGGCTTCTCCCCCGGGATACTTAAACCAACCCTGACACACCCCTAATAAAACAAAAAAGAATTATTTAAATCAGTCCAGCTGCTTTTGAGTTTTAGCGAGACTAATTGATTTTTATATATAATATTTCCTCAGAAAACTTTAATGTAACCTTAAGAATTACGAGGAAATGATGTCCGTTATTTCACACTAAAAAACATAAAACTAATTTCGAAAAAAATGCGCTAATGAATAGATTATCTAGAGCTTACAATGATATCTTTATTATATGATATGACTGCCTCAAGAGTTTTAAAACAAAAATAATAATCTTATAATGCTATATATCTTCTTATAATCCTATATATCCTCGCTTGGCTCGGGTTCGTCGCTAGGTATGTTTTAAATATATAAATAGTTATTACCCAGCGTTAGCCATATAAATTTTAATATGGTTGTTAAGTATTCTTAAATAAGTATTAAATTTTATAATTTTTCGCGCAATTTTTTTAATTTTTTTTTCATAAGAACCTTCTTCTGACAATAAAAAACACAAAAAAAATACAGTTAAATCGGTTCACGCGTGATTCATTTTTTATAATATATATATATATATTTATATATATATATATATATATATATATATATATATAATATATGTTAATTGTTTAAAATATCTTTATTTATATTATTTGCATCTATTTGGCATTTTAATTCAAAATTTATAGTTGTAATTGAATTTTTTCTTTGTTATTAATTTGTGTTTATAGTTTTATCCACATGATCACTTAAAAACCATTATCATGCTGTACTTACTTATAACTAAAAGTGCAATTAACATGTTAAGTGTATTGCATAGATAATAATATGTGTTTAATCATTGTAACTTTGGTTGGTAATCCATTAAATAAATAAATAAATAACATAAATAATATGAATAGAATTAATGAAATATGTATACCTACACTAGTAGTAAAAAGTTTTCACAAATAAAAAAGACACTATGCCAATTTAGGTTTATAAGACGGTACATAAACTAAAAAATAAATATATGAAAACCTTTATCCAATATTAAATTAAATTATTATTAAACTAAAAAATGAAAAATAAAACACCTAATACATTAAAAAAAAATTATAAAAAGAATGAGTCAAATTCAAATAAATAGAACAGTGCGATACCAACTTTCTTTACAGAAACCTAAAGAGTGTATTATTTTATTACTGGCGGCTCATTTCCGCTTCGCTCGGGTTCGTCCTTAGGTCCGACATCAATATATATAATAAAATTATACCTAAGCTGAATCTGTACATTAAAATTTTTTTGGAAAATCTTATCGAAATAGACATTATTTCGATTCAGAGGCCGAATCAATAGTTTTTAGAATTTTTATCTGTTTGTCTGTTTGTTACCGCATCACGGAAAAACCACTGGAGAGATTTTGATGAAATTTGGTATGATGATAGCTGGTGATCCGGGTCAACATATATGATACTTTTTACTGCAGGAAAATATCTCATTTCTGAGAAATCGATACTAGACGTTAATCGTAAGTAGGGACGAACCCGTGCAAAGTGAGGGTGAGTCGCTAGTCTTAATATATATAATTGTTCTGTACGTGTGTTTGTTAACCTACTCCTCCTAAAGGGCTGGACCGATTAAGATGTAATTTTGTGTGCATATTTGCTTTCCGTCACCATTATATAAGCAAATGGTAATCATGTTGAAAAATTACCATATGAGAATGTCAGAGATACGAAACCTGGGATTTGAACCCCACTAGGTTTCCAAAGCACCTACTTACTACCATAGTGCTTTTTTACCGATAGAAATGTGTACTCAATATTGCATATAATGTATAGATGCATTCCTTGACTACATAATCTCGAAATATTTTAAAGAAACAGTATGCTATCATTTTGGAACTGGGTCTTATTTAATATTTTACGACAAACTTCGCCCTCTCAACATAGAAAGTTTAATCAAAATAGTTTCCAAATTATGCACAGTTGACAAACAAGATGCGGGTTAAAATTTAGATACACTATTTATTTATACATTGTTTATAAATTATAACCTTAGAAATCGAAACCTTTGAGGAATCTTATGAAAGTTTCTAAGTAGTGAAGATGTGTCCATAATTGTTAATCCCATGTACCCTTTTGATTTCATTTAACCCTTTTTAACGTCCCACTGCTGGGCACGGGCCTTCCTTCAATACGAGGGAGGTCAGGTTATAGTCCACCACGCTGGCCAAGTACGGGTTGGTGACGTTGATAAAATTCGGTAACCAGGTAGAGTTAAAATATCTCTCATTTCAGTATACTGTTGATATACAAAAACTCAAGATACACAATTAGCGTCTCAAAAGTGTCCTCAAAAAGATACGCACAATTCGAAATTGAATTGCGCTTTTTTTAAATGTCTGTCTGTTAAATTAATTGCTCTTCGGATGACAAAATTGAAAAACATGTTTCGCTCAAAAAAATACTTTGTGTGATGTGCGAAAGTGCGAATTTGTGTTTAGACAATTAAAACATTCGATTTTTTAATTTTATTGTTTGTTTTGACTTAACGTCACATGTCGTTGTCACCCTTTGAAGAGATATTTATTTACAGTTTTAAATTTGATATGGTTGTATATATCAATGCAGTATAAGCTAATTGTTTTTCGTAGGATATTAATTTGTTACGAAAAATCACCACTCAGGCATAATATTAGTAATGGCATGGAGTTAGTAAAATTCATTGTCAGTCGGTAAAATTTGTGCAATACAGAGTTGTACAGAGTTCACAGGGTAACTTTCTACACTTTTCTAGCAAAAAATATTATTGAACAAATATTAATTATGAATTCTTACATACTCTTACGTGTTTTTTTTTATATTTTTACTTAAAATTAGCCTGTTATTTTAACTAAAAAATTTATGATACCTTATTATCAAAATAAGGTAATGTTTTTTTTTAATTTTGTTTATAATTTAGTCTTTTATAGTAACTAAATACTATGTTAAAAACAAAACGTAAAAATATTGATAATGCTTCAATATACAACCGTGCGCACTCTATTGCTAAGTATTGCACAACACAATAAAACACATATTTATGATATTTTTTTGTTATTTAATTATTTAAAAAAAAACATTTTTACACAAATCCACTCTTCCGAAAAATTAATTTACAAAATCGGCCACTTTATTTCATAACTTGGGTCATTAAAAATTGTTGCGCAATACGTTTGAAATTACAAAACTGATTTTACTTGAGACTTTACTTGAGAACACTATCCTCTGAATGCACTGGTTTAAAACCACTCCATCGGGCTCCACATAACACTAGTTACTAAAATATACTAGAGCTTTAAAATTACTAAGTTTTGTGAAATCGCAAATTAATATATACAATATATGCACATACTATGTTGTGAGAACAGGGTTACCATTTAGGTGTATCACTTCATTTATTTCGAATAATATTCTAATATTATTCCAACTTATTATTAACTGTTTTTAAAGAGGAAGAGGTTAGAATGTATCGTGTATGAATGTACGTTCAATGAAAATGCCAAATTAATCATAATGTTCTCGATTCCTATTTGAAAGAGCAAAAAAGCAATGGATTGATGTCATTAGTTGCATAAAAATAGTATACGTTTATTCCAATATATAAACTTTTCTATTGTTTGCCCATTGGTCGAAAATTGAACCATAACCATTATATAGAAAACTGTTTCAACCATAACTATTTCCAATTTTTTTATTAATAACTCTAAAGTTCATCAATAGCGACTAAACAAAAAAAAAGGAAAATCGAAATTGATAAATAGAGGAGAAAAAAAATATATTTATTATTACACCAAAATAATGGATCTTTTAATGCTAATAATACCTTCTTTTAACGTCTCTTGTCTATAAAGGTGACCTGGTGGATTTCGATGAAGTAAACTAGAGTGAACTGGAAAGCTTAGAAGGTTTTAAGAATAATCGCGCATATCTTTTGAAGCTTTATTAACTAATATATTTAAAAGAATGGAAACAATACTTTACAATTGAAATCATCAACTTAGCATTATCGTATATGATGGCGAAAAAAAGAAAATAAACTTATAAAGTTTTTATATTGATGAAAAAGGAGGATTTTCATCAAAACGGTACTCTATCGGCAACCCTACGAGTATAGATATTGATGATTCATGGACAGATTTCCCTGCTATATATAATACTGTGATAAGTTTCAGCATTCTTTTCGGTGCCTCGCGGCGCAGCAACCTTTTCCTGTTGCGTAAATTCTTTATGGGCTTAACTTTTAAAAAAATTGTAGCAGTTAATAAGTGAGGTAACTGAACTTTTCATATTTAACATTATATTTTATACTATTTTATTTAGTTTTATTATAATATTTATTATACTCGTATTTAATAATATTTATTTTAATTAATTAAAATTAATATAAATGTCATAATTTAAGAATTTAATTAAATGTCCAATTATTTCCAGTTAATTATGCAAGTTTTCGTCAAAACCCTCACTGGGCATATTGCCCTTGAGATTAGACCCACTGATATCGTAGAAAATGTCAAATCCGAGATCTATGACAGAGAAGGCATCTCTCCCGAACACCAGCGACTAATCTTCGAGGGAAAACAACTAGAGGATGGACGCACTCTGTCGGAATACAACGTTCAAAAAGAGTCTACTTTCCATCTTGTGCTCAGTCTTCGTGGAGGTTAGTATTGTTATTCACAAATCGTTATTTAATTTATATATTAGAATAATTACTAGCTATGGAATAGAACTGGGACTTTTTTTACGTAATAATCACCGTAGAGCATTTTTCGCTAAATACATACATCGTGATCATCCTTAGACATGTGTAAAGTGGTATTATAAATAATAATCATCGACAATTTTATTTAAGAATCTTTTTCTTGATAAACGTCATTTTATTTATATATTATATAGTAATGAAGTTATTTAACTCGTAAAGTATCTCTGTAGTGGCTTGACAACAACACATTCCGCCTGTGTCGACCAATCGTGTTAATAAACTCAACTCTTAAGAAATCTACAATCACATCTCAATTAAAAAAGAAGAATTTGAAGAAGATTGATTGATTACTTAAATTCTTTGTCTCATCACCGTGAAGAGAATGATCTGATTATAAAAATTGCTAAGCTAAAAATCGATGGGACAATTTTAGATATTACACAAAAAAATTGCTTATATTTTTTTTTGTAGGTGGAAAAGGCACGATAACTATCGCTCCAGATCTCGTAGTTTTGGCTCAAAAATACAACTGTAACAAAATGATTTGTCGCAAGTGCTACGCGCGCCTTTACCCTCGCGCGACCAACTGCCGCAAGGACAAGTGCGGACACAACAACGACCTCCGCCCCAAGAAGAAACTCGACCAAGCCAGACTGTTTTAATGCTAATTATATTTTATTATAATTTTTATCTCTATATTAATTGAAAATAAATAAATTATGTTTATTTATTATAATTTAATCGTTTAATTAAATACTAGTAGTAGTATAATAGTAGTCATTTATTTTAATTTTAATATATATTTTTCACAGTACTTTTTATTTATTTTTTTATATATTAAACATCAAGAATCGAAATTAAAATATAGACCTCTGACAATAATTATTTTTAAGATGGTGTATTTTTTTTAAAGTAACTTCTATTAACATTAAAAGTTCGAAGGATAAAATGAAAAAAAAACAAAAATATGTTTCAGAAATATCATAGAAAATTAAAAAATATAATAAATAAATGAAATATTAAAAATATTGATAGAATTTCTTAAAAGCGAAAAGCAAGTTATTGTATTAAAGAATTAAATAATATTATTTAAAAAAGCCATTCTACATATTATGCTTAATTTTCGTAGAGCAGTTAGTTTTAGTATGTATTTTTATTCCCTCCAAGACCACGGACAGGCCGCGCCGGCGTGTCAGTTAACAATAGATTTCTTAGAATTTTAATTCATTTCTTAGAAATTTACCTGGAGGTGTTATAATGAAAGGTTTTTAATCATATTATTATGATTAATATATTTAATGTGATAAATAATGATTACGCGAGCAGGCGCATTTTTCGCCCGAAGAATCGGCATTGCCATTCAACGGGGGAATGCAGTTAGCATTCTTGCCACTATTCCACGCCGACATGTATTGTACAGTAATAAATAAGTGTACATTTGTTTTGTATATTTTTGTATACTTAAGTATATTTGTAATTTTTTATTGTAAATAACATATAAATATGTGATGAATATTTGTTAAAATATAATAAAAAAGCCTATGGCCCTTTAAGCATGCAACTTATACTATAAAGAGCGACTCACCCTCGCTTCGCTCGAGTTCCTCCCTAGGTTGATTCCCCATACAAACTTTCATCCCCATTTTCACCCCCTTAATGAATAATTTCATATATAAAATAATTTGTAAATTATTTTTAAACTCTATTTTTTATTTATAGCTTGCATTTTACTAGACCACTATTTTTATTATTCTTTATTCAAAAACCTTACTTTTATTTTATACTAGCGACTCACCCTCGCTCCGCTCTGGTTCGGGATGAGATATTTTCCCGCAGTAAAAAGTATCTTATAGGTATGTTGACCCGGATTACCAGCTATCATGATACGAAATTTTATCAAAATCTGTCCAGTGATTTTCTCGTGATGCGTTCCCAAACAGATAGACACACAAAAATTCTAAAAACTAAAGATTCGGCCTCGGTGTCGATAGTAATGACTATTTCAATAAGATTTTCCAAAAAATATTTAATGTGCATTTTCGAATTAGTTGTAATTTCATTGTATGTATAGATTTTCTAATTATGAATTTGATGTTAAAAAAAATGTTGCGCAACAGATTTGAAATAATAACGTTTTCAAATTAAGAGACTTTTCATTAAAGCATTATTTAAAAATTATGTCAAAAAGTCATACTGAATAAGTTAGAAGTTTAAAAATATTTAGTTTTGAGAATCAGATTTCTTACTGTTTTGGTTATTGCATCTAATCTATGTAATTAACTATACCTACTACTATTTCTAGGTGGTATCATAACAGTGTGATAGTTGTTTTAGAAGTAAATTTTCGGAATATTGATTAAAATGTTTTAAATCACAGAATAATATTACAAAATTAAAAAGTATCTTAAAAATTTGTTGTTTTCAGATTTTCTATAAATTTTACAATAACCTAAAAAAATATTTAATAATATCGACAGAATGTCATAGAACTAACCATGAAGCAAAACAATAATATTTTAAAATCTAATACATGTATACGGAGTACATATAATAAAATTGTTACTAAGCCGAATCTGTACATTAAATATTTTTTGGAAAATCTAATTGAAGTAGACATTATTATCTATATAGAGGCCGAATCTATAGTTTTTAGAATTTTTGTCTGTCTGTCTGTTACCGCATCACCTGAACTACTAAAAGGATTTTCATGAAATATGGTATGGTGATAGCTGGTTATCCGGATCAACATATAGGATACTTTTTACTGCGAGAAGATATCTCATTTCTGAGAAAAAAATATAAAAACTGCATTGTAAGAGTATACTAATATGTAAAACTTAAGAATTTGGATTTCTGGTAATCTGAACGCGGGCGGATCCGCGGGCAATGCTAGTACATATATAAAAATCTCATGTCACGGTGTTTGTGGTCGCACTCCGCCGAAACGGCTCGACCGATTTTGATGTTTTTTTTTTGTATACATATTTGGTAAGTATGAGAATACTACCACCCCCAATTTCTTTAATCACGCTTTTAATTTTAGTAATTTTGTATGAACAATATTATAAACGCGACGAAATCGCTATTTAACATAAAGCCAAAGAGTTTATTTTTTATATATTGAACGCGGGCGTAGCCGCGGGTTCTAGTAGTATGCACTATAAAAATGACAACCATTTTTTTTAACGTTGAGAAATACATTTACGCACGAGGTGTGGGACTCACCAGCAAAGCCAGTACTACCCACTAAAACCCAACAAAGCCTTCACCCGTCTTAATGGGGCGTCGCAGGATCGCTTACGCACTCAACTACGACGCCCCGACGGCAGGTCTGCCGAAGCAGACCACAACAACCACGGGGTTGCTCCAAGGTCCACTCTGCTATCAGAGAAGTACCAGGAGCAACCCGCATGGTACACCGCCCTCCGAAGAGGGCCACCTCCCGCCGCCCACCAAAGTGGGCCACCTCCCTGTGCGTTTCTTGGCTTCGCGCACGGCTGTATTGCCGGGCACTACTGAGCCCCCCCCACCACGACTAGGTCAACGCACGTTGGGGGAGATAAAAATGACAACCTGCATACTGAGTGATAAGTAAACAAATTTTAATAAATAAACTAGCTAACAGATTTTATTGTAATAAAGAAGCAAACTAGTAATATTCTATCTTTCATTCGCGGCGAAGAGAACTATAACTTAAAAAAACAAAAGAATATAGTATTATTTTTGCTATCCATATTTTATTCCCAAAAAATATATTAACTTAATATATTTACAATTTCCCTTATTCTTTAAAGAAAATAATCGTAACGTATGGCAAAATCGAGAATCATAAACATAACATCACGCTACGATTTTTGACTTCGACATTTATTTTGACACCGTCTATACAATTCTTTAGTCTGAATATAAAACATAGTCAGTGGTACATAATATTGTGTCAATTTATCAATATTACATAACATGATTCACCACATAAAAGAAAACAAAATTCCCCATACAAAGAATGCCAACTCGTCCCAGTACTTAGTATTACACAATGAATATTTTGATTAAAATATATTACTTTGAAAACTCAAAACTATGTTTTTTACATTATTCTTAAGCGCTGTTTATTCGATTTCCTTCGTTATTATAAATTTCAGCAATTTCCGGTCACGTGGAAAAATATTGCGCAATACTTTTGAAATACCACCTTAAAATTTTGTATTATTTATTTAAAAAAAATATATCCCGTCCTTTCATAATATTAACTAGCGGCTCACCCTCGCTTTGCTCGGGTTCACCTCTATTGACATAAAAACAAACCTATCCTACGGGAACCGTACATTTTTCCGGGATAAAAAGTAGCCTATGTGTTGTTATTCCAGATATAATCTATCCCTGTGACAGAAAAATTGAAAGAGTAACAAACATCCATACATACTCACAAACTTTCACATTTATAATATTAATACGGATACGAATAAACTATAGGTAGGTAGTACTAGGTACTTAATTTTTTTACAGACGTTTTGACTTTTGGCAGTACTTTCATCATTTAACTATTGTACATAATGCATTTGTAGGTAGGGCATTATGTAGGTAGCAACCTATTAACATTACATTATTTGTTTGCATTAATTGAACGAAAATCATATTTTTAGGTCAGATGTTCTCAATACAAAAATATTTCATAAATGTAAAAATTTAAATTTTTAATCAAAATAATTTTTCAACTTCCATTTCAATTTTGACTCGAAAAAAATATATTTGTCATATTATTTATGTAAATACATATTATTTTTCAAGACAGGCACAATATTTGCATTTATTAAAACAGAAATAAATAGCATTCGTAGCTGTATTAATAAGACAAAATATTAAGTTAAAGTTTACATTTGTTTTTTAAACACAAATATAATTAAACATTTTTGAAATTTCATAATATTTTCTTTTCTAATAAATAAAAATATTTTTTAAGATTATGACAAAATAAAATATTATATAGTACATTCTTTTGAGTGAAAGGAGTATAGCTAGGCTTGATATGAAATGATCTTTAAAGTCGTTTGTTCTAGTTAGTCTATAATATCTAGACTATGTAGTAATATTATAATTAAACTTATTTTAGTTTTAAAATGTGTTATAAAAAATTTGTAACCCTTTACGAATGCCTATTATCGATGATTCACAGTCAGATTTTCACGAGTATATAAAGCAGCAACAGCTTTAATAACATCACATTTCGTCCTTCGCGGCGACGCGACCTTCACCTATGGAAAGCAGATATTAAACTTTTGTGAAAACTGAGTTTACTGTTACAGTTAGTGAGGTACAAACTTTACATTTTTTTTTAAATTAATTTTTATAATTTATAATCAATGATTTTTAAAGCTGTTTTGTTTATTATTTTTTATTTAATTATTTTTACTTTTAGAATTTTATGCAAGTTTTCGTCAAAACTTTGACTGGGCATATTGCCCTTGAGGTTAGACCCACTGATATCCTAGAAAATGTCAAGTACGAGATCTACGACAGAGAAGGCATCTCTCCCGAACACCAGCGACTGATCTTCGAGGGAAAACAACTAGAGGATGGACGCACTCTGTCGCAATACAATGTTCAAAAAGAGTCTACTCTCCATCTTGTGCTAAGACTTTGTGGAGGTTCGTATTTTGTT